ATAGTTATCACAACATTTATAAAAATTTGCATTATTATGTAAACACCTAACTCAAGTTTTTGTTTTTTAATTATATATTGTCTATTTTCCACTCCCTGTTTAACTTTCAAGATTATCTTCAGTAGTTCCAGATTAAAATAGAACTAACCATTGCAGGAAACAACTGCCATTCAAGTCAAAATGGTTCTTCACCAGCTTTTCCAGCAGCCCGGAATTTGAATGAATGCAAAATACACGTACTAGAACTGTTTCTAGGAATTTCTTTTCCTTAACTTCACGTCGCCACTTCCTTCCCAACCCAGCTGAAGGAAAAAAACCCTTGCAGCCATCGTACCGACTCTTTCCCCCGGGGTACTTATCACAACTTTACATTTATGAGCGTAAATGTGAAAGTCACCAGGATTTATGCCGTACGTAACATGCATATCCTGATGCATTATTCTTGACTGTGCTGCTGTCTTCCTCTTCGGTTGCCTGGCAAATTTTTTGCTAGGACTTTTTGGATTCTGCATCCTGCTCCATATGGGACCACCCATTCATACATAAGGACGACATACGGTAGCGGCGTACTTTAAATTCAAGAACAGTTCGTAATGGGATAAGACGGGTGCTTGACTGAGATTATGTTGCCATTCTCTGGCCAAAGAAATCAGCTCCTAATGAGATGGGTCTTATAGGGGGGGATGGTATCTTTTAGATAGCAGTCAGTGTGTGCTCAACCATGTTCAAAAAAGACGAGGGAAAAGTGCAACCGAGGGTTAACCGTTCTGTTGCGTTGCGATTTCATGGTGCAAGGTTTGCTGTGGAATGAATAGTGTAAGTACCGGTTATGCTGTTTAGATTATCGGTCTTGATTATTGGGGGAACATTTGGTCAAACAAATGTTTTTTTTTTATTATTATTAGAGAGACATTCATCCGTCTCTTGGAGGCTGGATCCTAGCTAGGAACTTCCTAGTTGAGGTGGGTCGGGGCTCCAGAGAGGTGATCCCTCAGTGGTCTTGTAATTATAGAGTTTTCATTCTGTATTCGGAGCTGTTGCTGGTGGAGTTCGTATAAATTAAATGTGTTGATACTTGTCGTTGATATCCGAACTTAATAATACCCAATTTTGTTCCTAATATCAAAATTTAATAAGAGGTTAAATACAAAAAAAATTGCATGCAAAATACTATGTAAATAACAAAAATTTATATTTGGATTCCAAAAGATTACCTATGAGGCATTGTTTTGGTATTAAATTTGCACAATTTGGTTTTGGGATGATATTGTGAATTAAATGAAATATTAAATTAAAAATAAATTCTGCATCTTCCTAATACTGATCGATATCAGCAATGAGTAATAATAATGAGTTATTGTAACAACACAGAACAAAAATTTTAATATCCGTAAATATTGACTATGCTCAGGTATGGCTCCAAAAATAGTGAATGTAATGTTTTAAAAAGACCGTGCGTGTCGTAGTAGCTACTCCGTTACTGATCTGAACCAGTGAAATTGCAACGGTAACACTAAGCTACCAAGCTTCGTCACGCCAAAAATAGTGAAGGTTGAGAAGAAAAAGAGGAACTCGCTTAAGTCTTGAGCATGAGCAATTAGGGTGGTTCACCGTTATATGAAAAAATGCAACCTTGACCTCATCAAGCAAAAACAACCCTTTTTTGGTTCCATTTGGGGTTCCAAACAATTGTGCAACATTTGGGGCCCATTAGTTGTAGCCCGGCTTTCCGCATTGTGTTTGAAATTTGTATGGAAATAAATATTAGAAAACCAAGTTTTTTGCATTTCCTTCACTAGAAACTACAATTTTGCTTGAATTATTCAACTAACTAAGTTCCAAATATAGTTCAGGAAGTGCCTAACTGCTTTGCTCATGAATGTACGGTGCTTGAATTTCTCTAAAAAAAAGTCATAACTGTTCAAATATTTATGGATTGAATTAAATGCAAAAAAATCACTTTTTCTGGCAACACTCGAAGTCAGATTATAAACTTAAATAATTTCGAAGTTTCTTATCTAATCGAATTGGAATAATCAGATGAATTATTCAAAAACAATGTATCAATCTTCTAAGCGTTGTTAGACAGGGGGCATTAATATACCATCCACCTCCTCACTCATATCAATGGAAGTAAAGCTTCAAACTGTAAAACCTTCGGTGTTTCTCATCTTGTCGAGTTGGTACATCCAGATGTGTTATTCAAAAATATTTTCTCAATCTAATAGGCATAGTTGGATAGAGGTGGAGGGTGCTTACTGTATCACTTCCGCCCCCTCACTTATATCAATGGAATTATAGTTACAGACTGAAATAATTTCGGAGTTTTCCGTCTTCTCGAGTTGATATGTTCGGATGGGTTATTCAAAAGCATTTGCTCAATCTTATAGGCGTAGTTCAAAAGGGCAGAGCATTTCCTTCCACTACTCTATTTAAAATTAACAAAAAACGATTGTGGATGTTGTTTTTGATGATACAAAAAAAGGTAGACTGAGCAAATATTTTTGAATAACTCATCCGATCATACCAACTCAAGAAAACGGGAAACTCCGAAGTTATTTCAGTCTGTAACTGTACTTTTATTGATATAAATTAGAGGCGGAGGGGATGCATAAAGCTACCTCCCCCCCCCCCCCTACCCAACTACACCTATTAGATTGAGGAAATATTTTTGAATAACACATCTGGACCTACCAACTTGACAAGATGAGAAACACCGAAGTTATATCAGTTTGAAGCTTTACTTAGTTACGGGGGTGGGGGTATGGTAAGTCCCTACTCCTCTCTTACTTCGCTTCTAAAATTGAGCAATTCTTTTTGAACAATTCATCTGAACATACCAAATCAATAACATAAGAATTTCCGAAATTATTTCAGTTTGAAATCATATTTTCATTGGTACCGGCAGTGTTGGCAAGAAACGTGATTTTTGGCATTCAATTCGAAACATCGATCTTTGAACAGCTATAACTTTTTTTACAGACATTTTAGCACTGTACAATTCTGTGCAAAGTTATTAATCACTTTCAGGACTATACTTTTACATTACTATTTGCATGGTTCAAGTGAAATTGCGGTCCCTAGGAATGAAAGTGCCAACAATTAGTTTTTCCCATACTAATTTCCATACAAATTTCAAACGCAATACGGAAACCTGGGTTACTACCAGTAGTTTTCAAATTTTGCTCAGTGGTTTGGGACCCCAAATGGAACCAAAAAACATTGTTCACTAAAAATGATCACAATGACCCACTATAATGAGCATGGGCATGATTGACCGCCCGTTATTGCCAGATAAGCTGTAATTTCACAGAGAACCAATAGACGTTGCTTGGGACTAGCAATCATGCTCAATATGAAAATACTGGTAATCTAAAATTAGGCAATACCAGCGACAGCCACGTTCAAATGTTGGTCGAGAACGGGTAGGAATATGTTGACGAAATACTCGCTTTAATGAAAGTCGAGAACACCTCTGCTCTTGAACGAGAAATCACTGGATCAATGTTGGATAAAAGGGTTGGGACTGTAGCAGGAGTCATTTTGGTAAATGATATGCTGAATTGATGTCCTAACGATTCAATAGCACGAAGGAGCATGGGTTTGAACCCACGATCTTCTGCTCAGTAAGCAAAAACGGTCGCTCTAAAGCCACCGTGCTCCTAACATCACAACAAACTACGACCGACAATCATTCATTATCGGTTACAAGAAGCTATAACAATGAAATAAAATCCCCGAATGTAACTAACCGAACCGGATCAGGATTACGTCACATTTATCTAAATATACGTATTATTTTGTTTTCCTTGATTTTGTTTTCCGTCGATCTTGTTTTCCGTGCTGAGCACCAATGCTACCGATCCAGGGAGGCAGCTCCCACACCTGGACGCTACCTATCGACCCATCAACTCATGAACCGGGGATCAACGGCTTTACTTCCCTTCGGAAGGAAGGCGTGATCAGAGATGTTATGCCTCAGAACATCCCGGCGGTGCCAACTGGGACTGAACTCAGGCCTGCTGGGGTGAGAGGTAATAACGCTTACCACTACGCTATCGGCACTGCTATATACGTTTTACTTTTTCGAATCGTTCCACCGATTTCTATTACTATCGATTTTCTACAATAGGGGCCTGGATAGATCAACTCAGTGATGTAACGAGGTTTGGGTTTAAACCCATGATCTTCTACTCAATAATCAAAAACGATTGGTTTGTAGCCACCGTTCCCCTTATATTACCACAATCTACAACCGACTCCACTAAAAGCTATTCAAATGAAGTGACGGACCGAAAGCAGCCTACAATGTCTTCACGCATACACCCTTTCTGAAATTCATGGTTTAAAAAATTAAACCTGCGCTTTATGCTCTCGAAACCCAACGATGGCGGTTTATTCTGTTGTGGGAGAGCTTGGGAATAAGCCCATGATATTCTGCTCAGTAAGCAATTCTCACTTCATTTTTACAACGCAAAAATAAATACAGTTTATTACTAGAATTAAAACCTACTACTAGCTAAAACTTTATTATATCTACTGCCTCAAACAGAACTACGTTTTGTCAAATGTGTGCAAAGTTATTAGCAAATGAGCAGTTTATGACCAAAACTGTGTATGCCAAGTATGCCCATACATAAATACAGCAATCGACTAAATTTTCAATAGCGACCAAATCCATCAGTACCATCCCAATGACGCGTTCATCTAGATAAAATTGACAAATAGCATATTTTTAGCGTTGGGACCAATCTTAGATCCATAGGCCAACATTAGAGCCATTTCCCCTATGTAATGAACAACAGAGATACGCGATAGTTTCAGCGGTTGATGATAAATCTCAAATGTACTACGGCGACAACGACGGCGACAATGACAGCGACTACGACGACGGCAACAGCGAAATTGGAGTCTCCTATTTGTCTCTGTCAATTGCCATGGTCATGTGGGAGGAGGTTCACGTCTAGCGCTTTCCCCAGGAACCTTGCCCTGGCCACCAGCTACCACCCGTCCAGTCTTGGGCGTATCAAGGCATCCTTCAGATTGCTCGCCAGCTCCAACATCGGGGAGAGACCAGCAGCCAAGCACTTTTGCAAACGGAAATCTTGCTGGTTCACGGCACCGTCGGCCACCGAATCACCACCAAACATTGGCGACCGGACCGGGTTCAAACTCGCCCACGGTGATGAGATTCTGGATAGAACTACGTGCCGAAAGTGTGTCATTCGAACTCGGAAAATCAACTCTTCGCCGCATTTCTTCAGGATGCATGACAGTATGTCATCTGGACTGGACACAGAGTATTTCAATTTGTTTATTGTGGAGTCCACCTGATTCGACGTGATCGCAAAGTTTCTCAGAGAACAGACACCACTAGGTGTATTTCTACAAGCTTCTGTGATTTAACATTGAATGCGCTTCCAAAGTAAGTGGTAAACAAATTGCACCGATCCGAAGCGGAAGTGGCGAATTCATTGCCCAGAAACATCTCAACATTCTCCTTCCGTTTAGAGTTGACAAATTTCCTAAAATGTCGTGGATGTCTGCTTAGATTTTCCTGAGGTCGTTTGCAGTAGCGTTTGTACAGGTAACGGCGATACGTACGATAATTGTTACTAGCACGTGCTTGGCAGAAGAACAACGAGATTGGCAGTAGGATCGGAATGTTTTGGATCTTAGACGTTTGAGTCGTCGTAAATGTGTATTTCCCCAAGGTGGTTTCGAAGATGGCCTGCGCAGTTGAACAAATTCAACACACTGGTGAAGTTATCTACAGCAAGTTCAATATCTTCAGCGGATTCAAAGATGCACCAGTCAGTTTGGTGAAGCACTTCAAGTAATCTTTCAAAATCAGCGCGGTGAAAGTCAAGTCCAGGTTCGTCCGGGAAACTTTCAAATGCAATGGCAATTTAGGAACAATTTAGTTCCTTCTTCTTCCTCACACTTCAAGATTATTGCTTATCGCATATTAGCTTATTGTGTGCTCTCAACTTAGTGTTCTAGATGCACTTTCACAGTTAATAATTGAGAACTTTCGGTGCCTGTGCCATTTTTGCATTAGTATAATTGTGTGGCAAGTATAATCATTCTCTATGCCCAGGGAAGTCAAAAATATTTCCAACCCGAAAAATTCCTAAACCGGACCAGGAAGCGAACCCAAGTTACAATATAACAGCCTTTTGGATTTCACTCTGATTTATTGTGGTTTTCTAACGACAATAAGCAATCTTTTAAGTTTAAATACAGCATTTAATAGTGCAAAACATTTTTGATTCGTAGTTCAGCTTTATGCTGTTTTAAACGCCCTTTAAAGTCTGACGAGAAAATCAGAAACTGTCTAGTTTTAAAATTGAATTGAATGCAGCACTCCATTCCTTTATAAAACTGTCCAGTAAATCAATCATAAACCTGCTCGGCATTTGTTTTATTGATGTCACGACCAAATACTCCATAATCAAAAAGCATATATTGATGCGTTTTGGTGCCAATGAAGTATATCACAAAACCTCCCACTGTTTACAAATAAAACTAAAGAGATGGATCCGCCTAGAGACAGAGAAAAACATAATCGAGTGCAGCTTTCAAATGCATAATCACAAGGAAATGCCAAAGGATAATTCTAGCAATGCTGCCAACGGAAGAGAAAAGGAATCCAATTCCAGAACTTCCTGGGAGGCTCCATAGCTCCGACAAAACCGGTTAACAACAACAAAGCAGCCGACTTAGAAGAAGCTGTCCGTCAGCTGAAAATTGGCTGCCTTCCGAACCATAGCAACGATTACATTCCGCGAAAGGGTTAACTGTTCCAAAAATTCCAAGCAAGCGATGCATGGTCATTATCGGTGTTATTCCTTAATTTTGTTGCTAAGGAATCCAATTTTGACTGACAAAGGGGCGCGCCTTTGGAGGGTGTTTCAACACTCCGAAGGGTATAATTAATGGGACCTTTCAAGAAGAGTCGGATCCTTGCGATGAAGGCAAGAATGACAACTGTATCAAAACCGAATACTTCATCATTTCTTAATAGTGATGCAGTAATACGACATGCACTAAACTAAGGACACGAGATATACTACAATAGATCAAATTACTGGTCACAGTAGTTTTATGTCCCGAACAGAGGAAAAAATGTTTAAGGATGTAAGGATGGCTCGTTGCTTCTGACAATCGGTTGTAGTCTCATGATCATCATCATCATCATCACCGAGTAGTTCAAATCGTTTGCTATTTTCATCAAGACAACAATACACTATGAAGATGCTACAATTTATGAAATTACGCTCCGCAACTGTTTCACACGGACTAAATTTACTAATTCCTCAAACTCACAACAAAAGCTGTCTCGCTCCAGATGTCACCATAGATAGGTAAAAGCTCCGTCACCTTCTCTCGTTTCATTACCAGTTGAACACACTGTTTGAAGCGTGGCTTAAATCTAACACGTCTCGCGATGTGCTTCTTCATGTCAAGCGACAAGATATTTGCATACCAGCTTAATGAAACTTACAGCAGCCATATCAGCGCAAGCAGCCAAGTGGGTGGTGGTGATACCGACGCCCAACCCAGTCAGCATAGGTGGCAAGTAAACTCGGGGAGCTGTTTTCCATTGTGTTTGCTTGTATAATGCGAAACCTTTCACTTGCGTGCTGGCTGATATCGTCACCGTCGTCGTCGTTGATGTTGCCGCTGTTGTTGATCCTGGCAGCAGTCAGTGGCACGCGTGCATGTTTGCTGTAATGCAATATCGCGAAAATAAACATTTAAATAAATTACACGTGCAAACAGTACCAATTTGTTACTGGCGCTGATGCTGATCCCGGCTTCCTCCGCTACCTCCGATGTGAAATATGTCTCAACGTGTAAGGCAAAACGATTCCCCCGGAGTAATATATTGGGTTTTCTTGTAATTTTACTTTTAACAAGCAACCTTCCGACATGCTATCCGGCTGTTCGTGATGGAAAATGTGGGCCGGTTCGGTTTAATTTGCATGCATGTACTTCCGCAAGGGCCCACATGTGTGACAGCATGACTCCACCAGAAGAAGGTTGGCAAATCATCTGAACATTGGTGTGAGGTTTCCAAGCGATGGAAGAAAACGAATAAACACTCGATTAGAGCTTCGCAGGTGACGGCGATGATAAGCGCGAAAGAAGCAAATTAACCACCATCAGGATGGGTAGGTTTTATTTTTCAAAGACTGTTTACTCTCATGTAAGCCTGTAATTATGATGCAAAGCAAATGATGATTATTTATGTGTTGATTGAAGGGTTTGCACACTGATTTAATGTGAACGTTGCGAGAGTGGGCTTATGGCATTCAGTTTTCTTCATTACTCAAATTAACGATGAACTATGAACTAATTGCAATGCATACTCGCACTAAAGCATTAAAAACCATGGCAGCCCGAGCAGAGAGTGAAAACAAAATGTAATCAAAATTTCATATTTTGATATAGGCAATAACATGTTTTACCAAACCCACTTAAGCGCCAAAGAACTTGCAGGAATTTGCGGTCCAATGGATGGAGCCAGATTTGGCGGAACATCTTCTCCGCATCTGCCTTGAAAACGTACCGAGGTATCCGCCAGTTGAGAACGATTGCGAGCAAAGGAGGTTGAACAATTGGGCCAACGTACAAAACATCATTCAGCGACAACTGGGAACTTCCCTTACAGGTAGCATCAAATACCACGCGGGTCTTCGTGGTAGAACTGTCCGGGCGGAAGATGGCATGATGTGGCAGGACAAATTGGGGATTTTCGACGCGAGGACTCAACTCCATGTGGCCTAGTACCTTGTACTCCTCCATAAACTTAACGTACTCGTTCTTGAAGTCACTGTTCACCGCAAACTTCCGCTCGATCGCCAAAAATCTACGTTGCGCCACCGCAAACGAATCTCCCAACAAAGCAAGCATTTCTTCCCGTAGAGGAAGCCGAACCATGTAGCGACTATCACTCGTCCTGGTCACCGTCCATCGGAAGTGTTCTTCACACGCTTCTTCCAAGGGTGTCATCGCCTTATGGTCGTCGAAGTTCTCGACCTCCCAAAAGCGCTGTAACTTACTTTCGAGACTTGCAGTTGCATTCACGATGCAGATTGATGAAGCATTCGATGGTTCGGATAATCTTCCAGCAACGACGTACCCCAAGACGGTCTTTTGGAGCATCGGGTAACCAGCCGATAAGTGTACCTTATGCGTTTCCATTAATGAGTAGAACAGATCTGATCAGAACTGATGTTGAACCTGGGGTCTGCGAGGGGAATGTTATCTGGGAGGTTCCAACTAGCGATATCGATGTGCTTGCTAGGGAGTGTGACCGTGATTTGTGGTATGACAAGGCATTCGAGTAGGTAATCAAATCTTCCGAAGCGAGATGAGATTTTGATGACTACCTTCGAGCGAATGTGAACGATGCCTTGACCAATTCCACTGACATCGACGCTTATCCGGTCACGTTTCAGTTCCAGCTCCCGTGCTTCCGATATGAAGTTGACTTGAGAGCAGCTGTCCAGAACTCCTCGAGCGCAATGGTAATTTCCACTGACGTCCTTCACTTTCATCACCACTGTTGACAGAAAAACTTCATCACTGTGCGCCTTCACGGAACCTTTTTGCGGGGCAACGTAGGAAGCCACAGGAGAAGAGCCCAAATCGAGGATACTGCCGATCGATCGCGACGGGAACGAACTAACCGGCGACCGGGTTCGACATGCGAAGATATCGGACGCGATGGTGGTGAAGCATACGATTGCATTTCGATTGCGGACGAATTCAACTTGTCTTGCTCGGAAGGAAACACCTCACTGGATACCGTAGAGCATACCAATTTGACATTTATTTGACCGGCGGATTTCACAGCTACGGTTGGCGACGACCAATGCAGAAGAGTGTGGTGCTTCTTCGAGCAATTCCTGCAGCTACCACTGCTACAGTTTTTCGCCAGATGTGATCCCTTCAGGCAATTGATGCACAATCCATGCTTCTCCACCAGCTCAAAGCGTTGCTTCGCCTCCATTCCGAGTAACTGATCGCATTTGAAGAGTGGGAGTGCTTGCTTGCAAAGAGAACATTTGCTTGTTATCTCTGTTGCAATGTGAGTGGAAATCGGTTTGGGTTTTGTAGGCCTTGATTCGAAAGGTAAAGGCTGCAGCAGCTTGACAGACTGCAGTACTCGCGACGTTTTCCGCACAAATTCTACCAGTTTCTGGTAGGTAGGACGTTCTTCTCCCTCACATGAGTTTTTCCACTCTTTGAGCGTGCTAGAATCGAGCCGTTTGCTCAGGGTCTCAACAAGTACCGTGTTCCACAGATTAGCCGGGTTGTCCAGCTTTTCTAAAATGCCCACATGATGATCAAATTCATCGACGAGGTCGTATAATGTCGACGACGAAGCCCTTTTCACACAAGGAATTGCGAAAAGGGCAGCGAAATGATGTTTCCGTAGGAGGTTAGGATTATCGTATCGCTCACAAACCGATTTCCATGCGATCGGATAGTTATCGGAATTTACTTCTAGATTGGCGACCATGCGAGCGGCTTCACCCTTGAGAGCCGCCTTCAGATAGTGCATCTTCTGCACCGACGAAAGATGAGCGCTTGCATGGATCATGCACCGAAAAATGTCCCGAAAGACAATCCAGTTGGATGAATTGCCGCAAAACTCGGGAATGTTGATTTCCGGCAACCGCACAGAATGCATTGGTTGCACCGGAGGACGACGATCGTTTGAAGTAGAGGGAATTTCTGGCAACTTGCTGACGTGCGACGCCTTTAGCTCGAAGTACAAATTATGAAAACGAATGCGTTGCTCGGACAATATTGGCTCAGCATCGTCGTCACCTTCATTATGACCTTCGAGCTCTTCGATCTCTTCCTGCACCCGTGCAAAATCTGCCCACAAATGATCAAGGGACTCAATCCTCACTTTTACTTGGTGAATTTGACCCTCTTGATATTGATCATTGAAGTGTTTGATCAACGCGGCAGAGCCAAGAATGGTTGCTCTTTGCCGCAAATACGTTTTTAATTTCGCAGCCGTAGAACGTGCCTCACGTTTCTTCGGTGGTGCCATCTTTATTGGCAACAATGAAACATAATCGCACCCACCTGGTATCGATGAATGAGGTTACCTCTACCATCCTTTGCCCGTTCGCTGTGGGGGATTCCAAACTTCGTCCCAGAATCCAGAGTATCGTGATGCCGAGAAGAATGGTAGGCGATCTTCGATGGTTTGATCCGCCTGGAGGGCCAATTCACCACGATGAATCCGAAACAATGGATACCACAAGCCATGCGGTACCGGCGACGCACACTGGGGCAGATCAGTGATTTTCTCGGAAAAAAATTAATAACTTTTGAACAAAGCATCCAATCAGAATATTGTCTTGGGTAAAGTTGTTTGTATTAGTTAAGCGCTTCTTCTGAATAAACTAATTAGTTCGCAACTTGGTCGTAGAGATGGTGCGCGAATCTAACTTTTGAATAAAGCATCCTAGACGTATGGTGTTTCCAACAAAGTTTTTTATCTTTAAAAATGAAGGAAAGTTGCAGAAGACATAAAACTTCCATAACCTTTAGTTTCGGAGATATAGGGTGTATTGAAAAATATGATGCCAAAATTCTTATTTGTATTTTTTTGTATATTTTCATATGGTTTCTGCATTTATTCAAACGAAAACAAACTAGGTGCAAATTTTCATTGCACTATTTGTGGAATTTATAGTGGTTTTAGTGAAATATTCTCGAAAAACATGATATTTTGCCTCTATTTTAGGTGGGTGGGATTCTCGAAAGGGCAGCTAAGGGCAGCTGGACTTTGTCTCTTTTGCTAGCTCATGTCATTGTCTAACATATACCAGAAAACTGAAGGCATGATATTCGATGATTTTTTTAATTTCACTTTATATATACCGATAAAAACATCCTTTACATTGAAATGAACTGTTTCACTTAATAAAAAACATTATATAAAATTTTGACATGTCACCATTTTTAAATGCTGTGCTGAATTTTGAGATTGTTTACTTAATATGAGCTGCCAGCGAACCAGGGCTGGCGGCCATGTTTTTGATGCTATCATCTGTTTTTGACTCTGTTTACTACACGATTATCCGTCCCTTTCCACCATGTATACGTCAGCTCAATCAGCTGCATTACCCAGGTAAAGTTGTATATGTGACATCATCGTACAAGCTGTCCCTAATAAACAAATACCATAAACGAACAATAGCCCAAATAGTTGAACTTTTCCACAAATGGTTTGGATGATACCCCAAACACGTCGTTAAGCAAAATAACCATAACAAATTTATTAGAGGTGTGCTGCCGTGCCAACGTGATCGTGTACAACGTACAATTATCGATCACTTTTTCGAAGAGACGTATCAGCTTTTGTAAACAATGCATTTGATCGTCGGTTTGGTGTAACTGGTAGCTCATCCACGCATACGAACACCACTATCATGCAGGAGAAAATTTCCCCTATCTGATGGTAGTGTTAGTATACGTGAGCGAGCTACCAGTTACGCCAAACCGACGATCAAATGCATTGTTTACAAAGCTGATACATCTCTTCGAAAAAGTAATCGAGAATTATTAATGTGCGTCAATGTTTCAGTAGTTGGTATCCATAAGCGTGAATTTTTTTCTCGTATCAGTTCAGTGATCAATTTCCGGTGTTGAGCAATAATCCACAAAGTTGCTATAATGGATTCACCTTCAATGTAAATTTTCAACAGTTGTTTATTCTATGCCATATGCTCAACATGCATTTCGTTTAGTAGTGTCTCAAAATTAATTTTAGTAAAGATAATAGATCACACAAGCACATCAAACTATTTTTACAACCAGATCCATTAATTACAAGTCTGCGAAAAAGACCGAAGAAAAATTCAGCCCAATTAATAAAAAAATAGCGAGGTATTGGCATTATTACAACCACCGGATTCATTTGACAAATAGTGACCAATCTTTAAACCATTACTGCTTCTGCAATTTAAAAAGTTTAACGAATAAAAATTATACATAACTGACAGGTTTCCTTATTAGTAGAGATACTTGTAACGGTTTACAAAAGGTGAAATTAAAAAAAATCATCGAATATCATGTCTTCAGTTTTCTGGTATATGTTAGACAATGACATGAGCTAGCAAAAGAGACAAAGTCCAGCTGCCCTTAGCTGCCCTTTCGAGAATCCCACCCACCTAAAATAGAGGCAAAATATCATGTTTTTCGAGAATATTTCACTGAAACCACTATAAATTCCACAAATAGTGCAATGAAAATTTGCACCTAGTTTGTTTTCGTTTGAATAAATGCAGAAACCAGAGCAAACATATGAAAATATACAAAAAAAAATACAAATAAGAATTTTGGCATCATATTTTTCAATACACCCTATATCTCCGAAACTAAAGGTTATGGAAGTTTTATGTCTTCTGCAACTTTCCTTCATTTTAATAGATAAAACACTTTGTTGAAAACACCATACGTCTAGGATGCTTTATTCAAAAGTTAGATTCGCGCACCATCTCTACGACCAAGTTGCGAACTAATTAATTTATTCAGAAGAAGCGCTTAACTAATACAAACAACTTTACCCAAGACAGTATTCTGATTGGATGCTTTGTTCAAAAGTTATTAATTTTTTCCGAGAAAATCACTGATCTGCCCCAGTGTGCGACGATGACAATGGCGTACCTTCCAGCAGTTTCTGCAACACTTGTTCCCGGGTTTCGGCGCCAAAAACTGTTGGGGAGCGCACTTACCGTGCTGGATTCTTCAGTCGTAGGCAGCCTTGATGTAATCGAACGGCGACAGGTGCACGATTGGGAGAGCCTTTGGGTTTTTTTAGACGACGGCGAAGGACACAAAGGAAAGATACACTGCACTTTTCCCTAGTAGAGGCTTTCTCTGGAGGAGCGATTTCCTTTTGCGACGGAGGAATGATAACTACCGAACTTTTCTGTGCGACTATCGAATGCAAACTAAACTTTATTCTCCTCTTCGTGTCT